ATCTTGGATCACGTGTGTTGAACTCATGAACTGTTCCCCATGAGCCTTCAGGCCAAAGTGGTGGAAATCACACAGAGGCAGTTGTTTCTGCAAGAAGTCACTTGTTTTGACATCCAAGTCACTACAGGAAACGTCTCCTTCTTGACTTTGTGCCCAGACCGTAGGCATGCACAAAAATCTAGCAACTAAAATTTTAAATCCTTTTTCAAACCAGAAAGGTCCTAATGTCTGGCCCACATTCAATCCCAAATATCAATGAAACTAGAAAGGTGAGGAACTAAGATGGAGGAAGGCATCGGTCCAGGACAATTGAGTGAGCGTCACCACTACAGCAAGAAACCAGAAGCAACTAGGACTGATATCCACTGCGGTTTTTAAGTCAAACATTAGCCCTAGAAGACCAAACTTTCTGTAGCTCCTCCAAGAACTAACCCTGTTTCTCGTGACAGCTGAACCACGTGACCTTCATTCCAGCAGACCTGCTATGAAGCTTTTGCTTCAAACAGAGCACTCAAGACTTCTACCACAGCACGAGATACAAGATATGTCTTACCTACTAAAGCCCAGCTCCTTTTTGTAACACCATAAGACAGAGGGTCTGGCTTTTACAGTTGCTTTAGATAACATGTGGTGAAGTATTACCACCTGCCAAAACAAACATTCATAAACAACTGTATTCACAGGCTAACACCAGGGAGCAAAATATTTTTCTGTTTTCGATTTTACAGCCCCATTATCTACCAGCCAATCCTGTACAAAAGAGAACGATCATTTGACACATCGCGAAGGTTAAATTTTTGTTTCTACAGCCCAGTATAACAACTGCCTTCTCCACAGCAGCATGACACTGATGACATGGAATTATACCTACCGCTATCTTTGCGTTCCTCTTTAGCTGAACTGGTAACTGCACAAACAGAAGCTGATTATTCCAGGCTAAATGCAGATCCTTGCATTTCTCTCTGCGCTAGACTTCACCCAGTGTTTCAGATTGCTTCTAGAGCTGGACAAGTTTTCATTTTGAGTTTTAATCCTCCCATGTACTCGGCAATCTGCCCCAATTTTATGTAGCGTGCAAATTCAGGAAGTATATTTGCTGTTTTGGCATCCAATACCTTAATGGAAATACTGAATACAACCAGACTCAGGATATGTCCCTTCATTACTCACAGTATGGACCTGGCCACCTTAACAGCAAATCAATGATTCCTTTCTGTAGATAGTGTTGTTCAATCGGTTTAGCTCCATTACAATAATTAAAAAAAACCCAAAACATATTTCCCTTACTTGAGTATGAAAATATTGCACAAAGCAGTACTGGATATTTGTCAAAAAAATCAAGGTATCTAACACGCTCTTCTATCTACAGAGATGGTTATATTGTTAAAAAAAAAAAACATGTTATTAGTCTAACATGAACAATTACAGACAGTCTTTGCAGGCACCTACTCAACTCATTAATTTGCAGGTATTTAACATATTTATGCATAGCTCGTTTTAGTTTCCCAGGGACTGAAGCTCAGAGAGTCATCTTATCTTAAAACAAGTTACAGTTTTTACCCTGCTGTTCTTCCCTGTTCCACTCGGGGGGGAGGCGGGAGGGAGGGACTGAGAGAAGTTTGGAGGAGAAAGGAATTATTTTCCATGTACCGTTACCAGGTCCGCCCAGCCCGAATTTTAGCGGGGTGACATTTCCAAGATGGCTCACTGAGCGAAACATGGCTTGAGTGACAAAACTGTACCCTCTTTTTAACTTGACGTGGATATGAAAGAAGCTCCAAGCAATTAAATAACCTTTTCTCCCCTTAGAAAGGAAAAAAAAAATCCTCTATCTATTTGACTCTTCTACTAAGAACGCCTCTACTTGTTTTTATTTAACCTTTGCGAGGCTCTTGAACGAGAAGAGTTTAACATTAAAGTCTCCTAAAACATTTCTGCTATTCGTTAATGTTTCTGCATCGTGGATCTGCCCGACCGGGGACATCACGCTCGGTTACCTCGTACACGCTATAAGCTTAGTCATGCCGTCATTTTTTTTTTCGTTGTTTGGTACAATTTTAAGACCTGACCAACAAAGGAATAAAACGTAGCTGGAGATTGCAGGACATCAGCTCTTCAAACAGGATTCCTCGCTGCCTGGTTTTAAGCCAGCACTTCCCTTCCAGCCCTGCAAGGTAGCACGCCTGTGCCGCTGCGGGGCGGTGGGAGGGGGAGGGGGGGTACCTGGTCTTTGCCGCGGTCGCCGACCACGACGAAGAGGCCCCGGTGCCGCTCGGCCACGCCGTTCTCGATCAGCACCCGAATGCGGTTGTCCACCTTCCTGCGCTGCATGGCGGCGCCGGGCTCCCTCCTTCCCTTCTCCCGACCGCCCACGCGGGCAGAGCCGCCAACGGCTCCCGGCG